TTAGCTGATTACAATGACTGGAAAAAAAATTGGGGTGCCCGTGCTCGTTGGTGAGCTAGAGCCATTTTTCAACTGACAGAGCTCAATATCAAGGCAAATACGTCACGTTTTCAATATGCGCGTACACGAGCGCGCGCTAATGAAGCCATAAATTATGCGCAGTAAGGATGCGCAATGCAAATGTGAGGAATGACCTTAAAACGAAAAGAAAAGAAAATTTACTGTCCCATCCTTTCCAGGCAGAAGTCTTTTAAAATATTTTAAACCGAAAACATGGGCGAAGTGACGTTCCTCTTTCACTTATGCATCTTCCTTCACTTTCAATCCTCTGAGTTTTCTTAGGCTCGATTACCAGCCGCTGTTCCCGAAGTCACTTCCCGAAGTCTCTTCTCGGGGAGGAACGTAGACCGTACGCGTGTACGACAGAGCGGCGGAAATCCAGCCTATTTTACCCTCTGCCCTGATTGGTAGATCACATAGTTTTAATTATCGTAAGCCTTTCGTTTTAATGACAATGCCAGTAGGATTGATTCGGCCGCATTTTGATTTGTCAACTCTCCAGCCAGTGATTTACATTAGACAAAATTAAATCGAAATCATCGGGCGGAAATTCTTTAGTTAAGTGAAACGTCTAGCACTGAGTATGAAGACCCAAAAAATGAGTCAAAAAACATAGTTTAAACTGAAATAATGGACCAACTTATCGGAAAAGTCCGGTACATACGTTGTTTTAAGCTACGATTTGAAGTCTTTCTATCTAAGAAAAATCGAGTTTGTCCGGCCGGAAATGATGGCCATTGTTAAAAAAAAAAAGTGGAAATGATGGCCTTCTACAACACATTGTCAGATCTGTAATAAGAATTACAAAGAGAAAAAAAAAATGAAATAAACGCTGAAACCAATCTACACTGATTTTCGTCGATGTAATATTTAACGAGCTTCTAACAGCTTCTCGCAATACTGAGTGAAAAACATTATTCAGTATATAAGTCTTAATATTCCGTTGAGGTTTATTTCCTTTGACTTATACCTTATAACAAAAATTTAATCTCGCTTGTAATAAAATGTTCTATGAGCAATTGCGGTCAGTTGATAACACAACACCTGTCTCACGACAAAGGCCTTCTTCCTAATCGAGTTCAAATTCAAGTCACAATCTCTAACTGAACGCTGGGGTGTTTATTCAATTTTTATGATGTGTGATATCAATCTTGCTGCGTTTGAACGAATAAAATTAATTTTGCAGCGCTTCCATTTGATATTCAACTGGTTCAAATGTATTTTGCACAGTAGTGAACCTCGACGGCAATGAAGGGAGAGTTTGATTGCAATTTCTTGGATTGTCGACCGCGATGAGAAAAATCAAAGTGCTCAATAAAAGCTCCATCATTCTCATAGTTGTTTGCATGGCGAACCATGGCCAGCTTTTAGCGTAGCTCTTACCGCTGAAAACTCCAAACTCTCCAATGGTTGTGTATAAAGACACGGAAAATATAAACACACCGAAGATTGACGCCGTACTCATGAAAACAAACAGTCGCTTTAGTTTTTTCACATCTCGAAGGGAGCATTGATCCATTGAGGTGTGAGTTTGCAGAGTGGATCTGAGATTTCGCCACATTTTAAAGCCTGCAACGAAACAACCGCCAGAAATAGCTAGACCCCAGATGGCGAAAGTAACGTGGCAAATAAAGATCATGACTTTAGCTTTGGGATAAAACCACACAATGAGATCCGACACGGTCAGGTAAACAATATTCGAAAACGTGATCGAAACTAAGACAGGAACGTTTCGGAGTTTCGGTGGTCCCAGCCTGGTTTTGGTGGTTTCCAAGAAAATTAAAAGCATTATACTGAAAGCCGAGGTCATACACGCTGTAGCGATTCCCCAAGAAGTCAAAACAACTAGGTTTTGAATCGCTGATGTAGATTCACTTGAGGTGTAAGGGTCCCAGAAGAGCACCAGAGATCGCCCGAACCCGGCTGCCATTAAAGTAAAGCACATGACCCTTAAATGGACCTTCTGTCTCGCGAAAATGGCTTTGCGAAACCGATAGAGAGAGGAAAATGCATACAACGTCAAAAGGGCAAACAGGCTTCCAAAGCCGTAGATATGGGCAGCCCACATCCAGCCCCATTTTTCGATGGCTTCGGTCCATTCTGGGAAAGGTTCAGGCCACACATTGATCGCACTGGGACCTGATTCATTCGCTTCGGCCATCTGTTTTGCTTGTGGTTTGGCCGCAAGACTTCTTTTCTCAAGTTCTATGCTGTGCTATTGTTCATTGAGATCTGTTTTACATTAGAGTATAGGCGTTGGAAATCCTCCTTAGCAAGTCATCGGTTGAAAAATTGCTGAGTACCGTTCAACACTGTTTTCTGTGTAGTATAATTAAAAGTTTGTTGAAAGATGGTGCCTGTAATTACTTTGAGTCGATAATAGATATGGTAATTTTGGCCTGGGCAGCTTAGAATGTTGTTACGATCGCTCACTGCAGTAACTTCTTTATTTCCAGCGGAGTGGGTTTTCATCAAAATTCTTTCCCTTCGTCAAGCGTGAAATATAACAGCTCTTATGTTTTCGATTCCAAGTTTGTCAGTGAACTTAATGGTTCCCCCAAATTAACCATTTTTCATTACATTATTCACGAATTAAAGATCGAAACTGTCAGCTTAATTTCAAAAGAGAGGCGCCGGTTTTCTAGAAGACGGAAATTAAAATCATCCTCAACGGTTGGGCTATTTGCCTGATAAGCTGGTCTAGTTTTTGTTCCTCCGCTTTTCGTGAAGTTTAAAAATTAGAGAACATGGTCAAGACTTATCGATGTTCTTATCGATGGCTATATTGAGTTATTTTTCTTTTGGGGGTCAAATGTTAAATTTGAAAAAAAAAAATGTATTGAAAAGGTTTTGGTTAACCACTTGAGGAAAAGTTCTTCAAATCCCTAAATCCAAAAACAGTAATGAAATAGATGTTACTTGATAAACATGCACTATACAGCGAAAACCAGAAACGGGAGGAATATTGACTTTCCCATGCTTGTGTTTAAAAATACACTTTTTTAATTAGATTTAACAAAACGTGATCGAAATCAGTATGAGCTCGTTAAAAATCATTTCAACTTAATTTCCCATTACAATTTCACTTTCTAAATCTAATTTATTAATGTTCTCCGAGCTAGATCTTCCCGCTCGATCCGAAGTTACGCTATGAAACGTCTTCTTTTCTACTGCGCTAAAAGATTTTCTGTTTTGGCTTTTTATAGATTTGTCTTATATCTTCAGTTGATCAACGGGTATTTTTCTCAAATGTTAATTGCATACATACATGTAAGTGTGATAAGATCGTATGCGAACCGAATGCACTGTTTTGTTCGTATCGTTTAAATGCAGTAATCACCAATACTAAGGGGACTTAGTTCTGGTTTTTTTTCTGGGTTAATAGTCTTAATATCTTGGGTGGTTTATTAGACAAAACATTAGGACAATATGATTTCCCGTTATCCGGTGTATTTCAATTTACCCG